TGTCGTATTGTTATGGTGATTGATGTTGAAAATCTATGTGTAATCTTTGAGAAATGAACATGGATTTGCTATTGTGCTATGTATACTTCTGGAATCTGGATTTGAATGTATATTCTGTAGAAATCCGTTTGAAATTAGATGAACCTCAGTTTTCTTGTTGTGTTTGCATGTTTAATCTGCTTTGTGTCTATTTTCTGTACTCGGGCCATGTTTTTGGGTCAGGTCAATCCGACCCGATCCAGTAAGTTTGTGTAAAAAAAACTAAAAAAGGGTAAAAAGGTAAAAAAATATATAATATAAATAAAATTAATTAATTAATTAATTAAGGTAATTGACCAACTTATGATTAATAAAATTAATTAATTTTAATTAAAATAACTTAATCATGTTTATTAGTCTTAATTTAAGATAAATATTTAATTATCTTGATTAAAGATTAATAATGTGATTAATTAATTTTAATTAATTTTAATTAATGTGAAATTAATCATTTAATTAAGTTAATCATCATAATTAATTAATTTAAATCTTTAATTTCCTTTAATATTAGTTAAAGTCAAAATTACCTTTCTTCATTTCAATTTCACCCAAGAGTTTTATAATTAAGCAATTTAGTCCATAGGTCTCAACTCTTTTTAAATCAATCCTCCATGTTTGTGAATGTAGTCAAATCAATCCTTCATGTTTTTGAATTTAATCAAAACTAGACCATTTAATTTTTACTTGTGTTCATTGTGCATGCATGTCTTTGATTTTGTCCATTTTAGTCCAAAAGGTTAAAAATGTTGCAATTTGGTTTATCTCTTTTTCAAGCTTGTTTATTAAGACCCAAATATAAACATAATGAATAAGTTGAATTAAAACCCCCCAATGTTAAAGTATGCAACCGTGTTTAAACAGAGGATTGTGAGGTGCACGTATGTCTTTCCTCACTCTTAATCGAACCCCCGAACCTCAATTTTAACGTAAACCCATTTTAAGTAACTTATTCCATCTTATAATTTGGATGAGTGGCAAATTCCCTTTATATATATATATATATATATATATTTTTACACTTAATTTTTTGTTATTTTGAAATTTTAAGTGGTCGTCAACAAATCCAACTTTCTTAAACAACTTTCCTAGTTAAGTCTTTAACTCTACGCTAGCATTAGTTTTAGCTTTAGTTTTTGTTATTTCGTTGTGAACATCTCCACTTGATGTATTTAGTTTTTTGCAATTCAATTTATTGCACTTTTGCCCAAAATTCATCTTCTTAGTTTCTTTTAAGTTTAGTTTTATACTTCAATTTTTATTTCGTTTTCTACATTTTTATGTTTTCGCAGTGGCATCATGTTTCGTTTCTACAATTTAATTTTCCTGCCATGCACTCTCTTTTTTCTTTTTTTCCTTTATTTTTCTCTTTTATTTTGATAAGCAAACTAACGTTTTGGCCTTAATTGTGAGAAGTCCCTGCTACTCTTCCAGGGCAATTATTTATGAGCCTTTTTGCAATTATGCAAGAATGCACCTCCATTTCTACGACAATCGTCTGATCAAGGCGCATCTCATGATTTGTTTAATCGATGCTCTTCCATCAATTTATAGTCAAGTTCCACGCTTGGAAGTAGTAATGGTCGTTGAAAATCCATCTTTCTCACTTTGAGCAAAGTGAGTGGCACGCTTTGTAATCTTATTTGCCATGCGATCGAAAAGGGAGATTTTGAAGATAGCAAATTTATTCATTTTCCTTTAAATTAATTATTTTTTTTTAAATTACAGCATTATTCTCAATTTTTAATTTATAAACTGTAAGTATCCATAAAAATTTCACAAGGAATGAATAGGAAAGGAAAGATCTTTCTATTATTTTTATTATAAATTGCATAATTAAATATTATTGTCTGGACCTGACAAACGGGCGGATTGGGTCAAGTTCAGGTTGGATCAACTCGGATAACGGGTTAAACGGGTTGGGTTATAAACGGGTTACGGGTTGGAAACATCGAAGCTTAACTCGACCCTAACGGGTTATGGGTTAACCCGTGAGTTAACCTTATTTTCATTCTTTATAATTATTTTTTGTTAATTTTATTATACACAAATAAAATTATATATTTCTAAATCTAATTAAAATATTATGATTCATTAACACTAAATACTTTATAGTTTCAATTACAAACATTTAAATTAAGAAAAAAATAAAAAAGTTATAAATAATAATAAATTAATCAACAATAAAAATATTAAACGTAAAATATTTAAATTTCTTGAAAAATAAAGTTTTAATTCTATAATCATCTTCAAACATTATTAAATACTTTAATCTATTTTTATAATGATGAAATTGCTCTTCCAAGAACATCTTTCACTAATTTATTGTGTTTATATTCTAACATCACATCTTTTAATATTTTTAGTTGCATTATCATTTTATTCATGATACTTGGATAATTGTTAATACTCAAAAATAATAATAATAATAATAATACTTGGGTAATTAGATCAAACTTATCATAATTTCTTCTTCTTTCTCTAGAAATTAGGGAGTATGAATTAATGAAAGGAGTTATCAATAGGAAAATTAATTAAGGATAATAATTATAATATTTAAAAATAATAATAAAAAATAAAACAAACGAGTCAACCCGTCAACCCGCAAGTTGACTCTAATCTGACCCGTGACCCGTACGAGTTGATAATACGAGTTATCTACGAGTTGCGTGTTGAGATATGTAAACCCTAACCCGTTTTCTAAGGATCGGGTTAGAGTCGAGTTGAAGGGTCGAATTAGAATCGGATTAATAGGTCGAGTGGATTTTTGTCATGTCTATTATTGTCTCTTGTTTCATTATTAATAATATTTGTATATCTACAACTCAAATCTCTTACCCTACTCGGAGGAGAGATTACCATTAAGTCTTGGTTTATTTATTTTTATTATATCTAAAGTAGTTCAACACTTACAAAAACCATACAAAATTATACACTTTAATTGGAAAAGAGAGAATTATTCATTACACATGGGAGAATTTCCAGTTCTCCACTTTGGCAAACTCATGCGGTGGACTCCAAAAATGGATAATC